ATTGAAATAGATCAAGCGATAGTGGGTAAAGGCCTGAATTACAACAGTAAAAAAGGAGAAAAAGGAGTGATTTCAAGAGAAAGATAAGAGAATCCACAAGGTTAAGGCTAAGTTGCATAAGGGGCAGTAGAAGAGACAAGAATGCCTCAAACTTTTAGCTTAGATGACTGAAAAACCAGTGAAACCATTAATGTAGAAAATAAAGAAGGAAGTGCCTCTAGGACATTTAGATGAAGGGTCTGGTAGGCAGTTGGCTGATGTGCTATGTAGGTAAGGTCTCAGGCAAAAACAGAAACTTTAGCTTTGGGAATCATTGGGATGTAAATCCTGCAGAAGCTATGGTAGAAGAACAGAAGAGCACATAAAGCAGGAGTAGAAGAATGCTCAGAGCACAAGCCTGGCCATCAGGATGCTTTTTGTCTTTGTAAAAGTTACTGCTCTTTGTCTAAAAGGAAAATAGTAGTCCCTGACACACAGCTATTTGGTTTGCAACTCCTTTTGAAAAAGCTTGTATCCCAACTCATCCTGTTGATTCATTTTCCATATTTCAGAAGAGCCCTGTGTTAAAATTGAGAGCTGACACTACAACTGATCTTTGGAACCTCTCTGAGAGTTTCAGGATAAAGTGATAATAGAATTCCAACTTGCCATCACCTCAAAAAAAGAAAATGAACCTAATGTTAGAATATGCTATTTCTGTAATTTGTGAAAGGACATAGCATCACTTGCTTATCATAATATATAACTTACTTTGGTATTTCATGAATTATAATATAAATGTAATTCAGCTGTATAATATTCTGTCTTATACTTACTATGTGAAAACATTAAGGGTTTTGGAAACTTGTTCTAACAAATTTTATTTGTGTTATCAGCTGTTTGTGATATAGGATCTGCCTCCTTTAAATATGATATGCGTCGACTCAGTGAAATTCTGGCATTTCCAAGAGCCTGGTATAGGAGAAGTATTGCAAGACGTCTGTTCCTCGGAGACCAAACTATAAATTTGCCAAGTAAGCTTGTTATGTAATTATAATCAGATTGCTTTAAATTTTGGTTTCAGTAGTAGCAAAATCTATGATTGAGAACACAAACTTGGTCTTATTTGATAAGTTGTACCATGCAATTTGTCTGCTTCTCGAAGAAATGTCTATTGGGCCCCTCTAATATGCCAAGCACTGCGGGGAGACATTAATACCGGCAATGTATCGCAGAACCAAACAGACCAAAGTTTTACTCTCTTGGAGATTACATTCTAGCTACATTTCATTCTATAATGATTACTCTGTAATCTTTGTAAAATCTAGAAATGCAGAAATACATTTAACCATCCAAGTTAATCATGGTTAGATAAGCATGGAAAACAGAAAGTATTGGGGACATGCTACCATCTTCCTGTATTTGTCTCTCAGACTTGGATAAAGAGACAGTTATGGAAGTGAAAAGTAGAGTCAGCATCATTTAGTGGAAAATATTAGAAGTCCTAGGTATAAGTCTGTTCCCTCACCTGTAAACTGGGACCAGAATACCTGTTTTGCCCTCCACATGAAGTTTCTGTGAGAATTAAATAAAATACTGGAATAATTTTTTGCCCACTGTATATTGCCATACAGTTGCTAAATATAGAACTAGAGGAAATATTTAATATGATAATAAATGGTGGATGGGTGCAATTATTTTATATCATGATTTTTACCCAGTTAGTTTGGATTTTGTTTTTGTTTCTGTTTTCTACTTTCCTACTAGCATCTGGTCCAGGGACACCTGATTCCATCGAAGGGGTAAGCCAGCATCTTTCCCCTGAATCATCAAGAAAAGCTTACTGCAAGACCTGGGAGCAGCCAAGTCAGTCAGCCTCCTTCACTCACATGCCTCAGTCACCTAATGTGTTCAATGAGCATATGACAAACAGCACAATGTCACCAGGGACAGCAGCACAGAGCCTAAAATCTCCAGCTTCCGTAAGATCAAGAAGTGTATCTGATTCTTCAGTTCCTCAAAGAGGTAACACTGCTCTTTTTGTTATCAATAGCCCTCCAGTGTTCCCACGATAAAAAATCTTAGTTATTCCCAGATTTTAGCCCCAATTGTAAGAAGATACACATTTTGTTTTTTTGTGATATTAGGGGAGGAAAAGCCGAAAAACAGATAAAATAAGAAATAACAAACACTTCAAAGTATTGCCAGCAGAAGAGACAGCTAGATAGCTAGTAGCTTTGCAAAGGGATAGAGAAAGAGGAATTAGCATATTGTTAGTGTGCTCCATATAGTACAGTTATATTTAGAAATAAACCTACAGCATTGTAAAAGTCCCAGAAGGTACTTTGATATTGAAAAAGTTAAAGTTAATACAAAAGTTTGTATTCATTTCAGTCATTCTTTTACTTAGTGTTTTTCTGAACGTTTTATACTTAGCCTTGGCTCTGTACTTGTGCCCAAATTTATAACAATGAATGATATATTTCTTGTGGCAAGATTAAAGCATAATGAGCTAGTGAGGTATCAGGATATACACTGAGTCCGTAACAACATAAACAACAGGCACCTCAGCTGGCCTCTGCATTTCAGAATAGTCCCTGCCTTTGAGGCTTCTATTTGGCAGCAGCATCTTATGATTTTCTCATTTATGATGAAAATCTTAGGGTGATGAATGATCTCTGCTACTATATCCCAGGCACCTCAGAATTTCCTCATATAAAATGGGGACCATACAGATTTTATGAACTTTCAAGAAATAAGGCTGCCAGCACGTACTAACCATTCAGTAAATGGTAACTATTATTTAGTGGCAATATGACAACCACTAAACATTAGGTTCTAATACAAGAATATCATATTTCCACTTTGTGGATTATAGTGATAAAAGTTGTTTTTGCTTTATAATTGGCTTGACATTTATGCAAATGAACATATATTTGATTTTTCTATTTTTAGATTCACTTTCAAAAACATCAACTCCTTTTAACAAATCAAACAAAGCAGCAAGCCAACAAGGGACCCCATGGGAAACACTTGTCGTTTTTGCTATCAACTTGAAGCAATTAAACGTTCAAATGAATATGAGTAATGTCATGGGCAATACAACGTAAGCTATTCTTATCCAAAGAAAATATAATTATTATTTGTAACTTTTCTTATATCGTAGTAAAGCAATTCAAAACCTTTTCTTAAAGCTGAAATTTTTGAGAAATTAAAGATAGTAGATAAAAGATATAAATTATTTTATCCTGAAAATGGCTCGATCCTAAGGATATTATAATATAAAAGCATATATGTTCTAAAAAGAGTAAAAATTATAAGGAAATTAATTTTCTAGCTAAGAAGAAAGCTTCATCATTGATGTTACCATTTGAATATTTACCACATTGTTTTTGTAAGAAGTGTGTTGTTTCATTGTCAAACTCGACCTTTTACTTAAATAATATGGTTTAACTTCTTTTTAATTTAAATCCTGTTTTAATTCATGACATTAGAAGTCATATATCTAATTAATAACCCTTTTTCCTTTTTTAAGTTGGACAACTAGTGGTTTGAAGAGCCAGGGCCGTCTCTCAGTAGGAAGTAACCGTGATCGAGAGATTAGCATGTCTGTTGGTCTGGGAAGATCACAATTAGATTCAAAAGGAGGAGTAGTTGGAGGCACCATAGATGTCAATGCTTTGGAGATGGTTGGTATGTTGAAATTTTACAGCTGATCTAATATATCTGCAAAACAGAAATCTTAAGAAAAAGATTTTAGAAATTGATTGTGATGAGTTTTTCCCATGGACATTTCTGTGAAAATTATTGTTTCTATTTTAGCTCATATTTCTGAACATCCAAATCAGCAACCCAATCACAAAATTCAGATTACTATGGGTTCTACTGAAGCTCGTGTTGATTACATGGGCTCAAGTATCCTCATGGGTATCTTCAGTAATGCTGATCTTAAGCTTCAGGATGAATGGAAAGTAAACCTGTATAATACACTGGATTCAAGCATAACTGATAAAAGGTATTTATTAAGACATTACTTTTTGGATACTTTACATGACTGCTCTCAACATATTTTCCAGTAAGAAAACACAAGCAATTCACTTTTCCTGCAAAATATTTTTATATTATGCAATTAATGCAAATAAAAAAGCTGGGTGGGGAAGAGAATTTTTCATGTATTTTTTAAGTATATTCTGTAAAACATATGATAAAAATTCTGTTTTATGCTCTAGTGAGATTTTTGTCCATGGAGATTTGAAGTGGGATATTTTCCAAGTCATGATATCAAGATCAACAACGCCAGACCTAATAAAAATAGGAATGAAGCTCCAGGAATTTTTCACACAACAGTTTGACACCAGCAAACGAGCTCTGTCTACCTGGGGACCAGTTCCGTATCTTCCACCAAAGACAATGACTAACAACCTAGAGAAAAGTTCACAAGAACAAAGTAAGAATTAGAATTAAATCTTTATATATACTTTAACTTTCATTAAATATGTGTTCTTAATTAAAAATAATAGTAAAAATAATAATCTATATGCTATACTTACAAAACAGGCTGTAGGCTCTTTATCCAATTCACTCAGCAAAGGACCATATTTCCTACCTACCAGTGGAATTAGAGGCCATCATTTGGGAATTTATTACTTATCATCTATTCCCCTGCTACAGTGCATCTATAACTATTCTAGCTTCATGCTCTTGAATACAATTTATGACAGTACTGTATTGTAGATTTAGAGCATAGGCTATGGAGTTAGAATAGCTGACTTTGGATTCATTATTATTTGTGTGATATTAGGCATTATTTTCACTCAGTGGTTCAATTGGCAAATATTTATTAAGCAGTAGCCATTTGCTTAGGCACAGGAGATCTAGTGGTGGACAAAGTCACTACCTCATGAAACTTACATTCCAATGGAAGAGACAGACCATAATTAATTTACTAACTAAATAGATAATTTCAGTTAGAGGTACTGATCAAAAGAACAAAGCAGGGGAAGGATACAGAGAATGATAGGTGTGAGGATAGCTGTTTTAGAAAGGGTGATCAGACAAGCCTTTTCTAAAGTGACTTTAGTGGAAATTTGAGTTAAAGAACTAGGCTAAGATCTAGGGCTAGAGAGTTCTGGACATAGGGGGCCACTGAAGGGTGCAGGGCTCCTGCAGTAGAAACAAACTTGGCTTTTGGGGAACATTAACGTGGCCACTGTGGCCAGAGCAGAATAAGCAAGGAGGAAAATGTTAGACATGAATTCAGAGAGGTTCGCCACAGATAAGATTTTTAATATTATGGGCAGCTATTGGAGAGTTTTGAATAGATTTGATATCTGATTTACCTTTTCTTAAAATACTCCTTTTTAAAGCATTACTCTGGCTACTGTGTGGAGAAAAGACTACAGGCAGTTAATAATGGAAATAAGGAAACCATTGCAATAGTTACCATTACCATTATTACATACATAGTTGCGACGTATGGATACTAGGAAGCCATAGGAAGAGTCCAGGCAAAAGATGATGGTGGCTAGGGTGATAGAGGTAAAAGTGTTGAGAAGTATTCAGAATGAAAATAACTTTTTAATAACTTTTTATTATCACAGAAGCAATATATGTGTACATTTGAAAAATCTAGAAAATACATACAAGCAAAAAATAAAAACATCACATTCCACCCAGAAATCATAACTCTGAACACCATAGAGCATATATTAATTTTTCCAGATATTTTTCTATGCATCTAAACATATATGTGTACTTTTTTCATCATATTGTTTTGATATACTTTTCCAGCCAACAATCTCCAATTTTCCATTTTGCTCATGTTTATTTCCATTAGTTTTCAGAGCACATTCAGATTTCCATATTGACCTAAAAATATCCTTTATAACTGGTTTGTCCGAACCAGTATATACAATCCAAGATCACAGATTTAATCTGGTTATGTTCCTTTATTCTTTTTTAATTTAGCATAGTTCCTTTTTTTGTATGACCTGACTTGTTGAAGAGACCTGGCCAATTGTCCTATAGAATGTCCTACCTTCTAGATTTTAGTTGCTTCCTTGTGGTGTCATTTGCCTTGTTCCTCTAGTCCATGTATTTCCTTTAAAGTAGAATTGATATCAGGCATATACAAATTGAGGTAATGTTCTGCAAAACACCTGGCCTGGATTCTTCAAAAAAGTCCTTGTCATGAAAAACAAACAGGCTTAGGAAATTGTTTTAGATTGAAGGAGACATGCCAGCTAAATACAATGCATGGATCCTTGTTTGGATCTGGGATGAGAGATGTGGAGATAAGCCAAAAAGGACATTATTGGAATAAGTGGAAAATATAAATTGTATGTTTGATTAATGCTTCTCAAACTTTAATGTGCATCTGAACCACCTGTGGATCTTATTAAAATGCAGATTCTGATACAGTAGATACGGGAGGACTTAAGAGTCTGCATTTCTAACATGCTACCAGGTGATGCTAATGCTTCTAGTTGTGTGACCTCATTTTGAGTAGCAAGGGTATATAGTAAAAAGCATTACTTAAAATCAGGGGGTCTGCATTTGATTTCTCTGTCTTCCATTCACTGGTCCACTTAACCTCTTTGTTCTCCTTCTTCACTTGAAATCAGTCAAGATGACATACCTAGTTTACAGAGTTATTGTGAGAATTATGTAAAATTTCATGCAAACACTTTGCGAATCATTAATCATTGCAGAAGTGTTAGTTGTTATTTTTATTAGTAAGTTCCTGCTTTGCTTAGCTCTGTCCATCCTCATGCAGCATCTTTCCCCAGACCATCTCTTTATTAGCTAGTACTTAGTGTTAACCAGGTGCCGGACATTGTTTTCGTCCCCTACATGAGTCACTTTCAGCTGCAGAAAGTAGCTACCTCCTGCCTTCCTGCCCCATTTAGGATACTCATGATGCACTTCAGGAAATATGTTTGTTGATTTTCTTGCAGTGCTTGACGCAGCTCATCATCGACATTGGCCTGGAGTATTGAAGGTGGTATCAGGATGCCACATATCCTTATTTCAGATTCCATTACCAGAAGATGGAATGCAATTTGGAGGATCAATGAGCTTACATGGAAATCATATGACACTGGCATGTTTTCATGGTCCAAATTTCCGTTCAAAATCCTGGGCCCTTTTTCATTTAGAAGAACCAAATATTGCTTTTTGGACTGAAGCTCAGAAAATCTGGGAAGATGGTAAACTGACACATTTCCAGCTTCTACTTTTTCCTATCTTCTGTTATGATTGTTTAAGAAAGTAATTTTCCCTTCTCATATCTTTTGTCTGTTTTTATTATGATATTTCTGAAGTCCATCTCTATTTGTTCTCATGTATCTGACATGTTAAGGAGTTCACTGCCAATGAGTCAGTATCTATAATATCTGGAACATGTTAAAGGGCTTATTTCTGAACTTTCTATCCTACTCCCTGTTTCTTACTTGGGCAGTTAAAGTTCCTACTGCTGTGGCTGGCCCTAATCATGATGATAGTTATTGTAAACACAAAGACATAGAGTGGCAATGTGAGGAAATTATTTGCCCATCATGACTATATTATAAAACTTATAGGCAAAGTTGAGCTCTTACCTCTATTACAGTGATGAACTCAGTTCCTTTGAGCTTTAATTTCCTACTCAGTAGTTTCTTACTGATGAAGGAAAACATGGTTGATGCTCTTCATCTTACTGGGACAAATCCAATTATGACTAAAAGAAAGAAGAATTATTTGTAAATTATTTATAGTTTTGCTCATTTATTCTTCATTTTTATAGCCTTTCTATCTACATATGACTATAGCCTATCTGTGTATGACTTAGCTAAATCTACTGCTCTGAGGTCACAACTATTTTCTTAAATCTAAATATAGTTTCTTACTTTAAAAAACGTCTTTTTTTTCTTTTGCTCTAGGCTCTAGTGAACATTCTACATACATTGTACAAACCCTAGATTTTCATCTGGGTCATAACACCATGGTTACCAAACCATGTGGTGCTTTGGAAAGTCCTATGGCGACAATAACCAAGATAACAAGGCGCCGCCATGAAAATCCACCCCATGGAGTAGCAAGTGTGAAAGAATGGTTCAATTATGTTACAGCCACAAGGAATGAAGGTTAAAATTTTTAGTCTTTGGAGAAATTTGTTTGTTTTCTATTTTGGGTCCTGTTGACTGTGTTGAGAGTTTAAGTAAAGGTGGAGTTTTCATTTCTTTAAACAATTTTCATTTTACTCTTGCTGACACAAGTAACTATTGTTTAGTACATGATTCAACCACCCTGGTAGTGCTACATCTCATAGACGCAAATTATTTTAGGTGTAACTAAAAATATTCAAAATAAAATTGCTTTTAAATAAATAAAATTAAGTTTATTGGGAAATATTTAGGAAATTTTTGGAAAATAACATTGGAAAAATATTTTTGTGGTAATGCTAAAAAGTGGAGGTTTGGGGAAGTTATTACACAACTAAATAATGAATGCCACAAACTTAAAGTTCAGGATGGCTAAAACAAAATAAAACTAAGTCATATTATTCCATCACATCATAAGTTTAAAGTAAGTGCTTTGCTGCCCATCAAAATGGACTTGGGCCTCATGGAGAATAGTTACCATGGAATAGGTGACCTCAGGAATTAAATAAGAATTGTTAAAAATGTTCTGAGAACAGAGGAGGATAAGAAAGTAAATTAGAATATGATGCCTGTATTGACTATTCTACCTTCCAAATAGGGATTTGGAGGAAGGGGTGTTTTTGACTGAGATACTTTGGAAGGCCTATTAATATAATGAACTGCAGTCTGTGCACCTAGAAAAATACTGATTTTTATAAGACATCTATAGTGTAATCATAGCACATATGTTGGAGAAAATTAGGACTTCTACCTAATTTCAAGGTTAGGATCCTATTTAATCCCAAATTCTTTAAAAGTGAAGTGTTCAATCTATGGAAACCTCTGGGTTTAATGAAACACTTAAGTTCAGACATGAATGCAGTTGAGAATAGTATTCATTTTAATATCCAAGAAGCCAAAACTAGAATGTACTAATATATTAGATTTACCCAAACCCCATTATAAAACTTTGGTCTTGACAGCAGTGATTAATTTTGTATGTGTGTGTGTATTTTTTAATGTGATTCTTTTCAACTTTTGAAATGATAATAGTTTTGTGTATCATAGTTTTCCTGACAGCTATAGACTTATTAATAACTGTTGGTTTAATTTGACTTTTATTGTCTTTATTGTTATGCATGTAGAGCTAAACCTACTTCGTAATGTTGATGCTAATAACACAGAGAATAGCACTACTGTGAAGAATTCTAGTTTACTGAGTGGATTCAGAGGAGGTTCTAGCTACAACCATGAAACAGAGACTATCTTTGCATTACCAAGGATGCAGCTTGACTTTAAATCCATTCATGTTCAAGAACCACAAGAACCTTCATTACAGGGTATGTGAAAAAACAACCTAAAATTACTAAGAAAATACTAAAGTAACTTCAAACTACTACTGCCTTCCCACATGTTATCTCTGTAATGTTAATATAATCTAATGAAATCATTTCACTTTTTTGGTCATATTGATTTTCTTACCAGCTATATGACCTCTGGCAAATTATTTAATGCATTTGTGCCCCTTTCTCCTCAGTAAAATTAAGAATAATGGACTTCATGTATAGAGCTATTATGAGGAATAAATGGCATATTCAGGTTGAGCTTCCCAAATCCAAACTTCCCAAATCTGAATGCACCAAAATCCAAAACTTTTTAAGGACCAATAGTGCTCAAAAGAAATGCTCATTGGAACATTTTGGATTTCAGATTTTGGATTAGGGATACTGAACCAGTAAGTATAATGCAAAATATTCCAAAATCTGAAATACTTCTGGTCCCAAAAATTTCACATAAGGGATACTCAGCCTATACTAGGAAAGTACTTAATAAACTATCATCATTCTATAATTACATACAAAAATTATTCATTTCTCTATAGTTTCATTTCAAATGGTTACATTTACATGGACCTCTTCCTTATTAATAGGAAGAGAAGGATTCATTTCATTAAATTTTTTACTGTTAAAGAACTTTGTCATTGCAGATGCCAACCTGAAGCCAAAAGTAGAATGTAGTGTGGTGACAGAGTTCACTGACCACATTTGTGTGACTATGGATGCTGAGCTCATCATGTTTCTTCATGATTTAGTGTCAGCTTATCTTAAAGAAAAAGAAAAAGGTGGGTAGAATTTTTTTTTCTTTCAAGCTACAGGAAGGGCAGCTGTTAATGCCATTTACATGGATTTTTATGGTCTAGTGAGAAAATGAGTGGAATATGTCTCCTGTGAGTTGCAAATATCAGTAAATATATTATGTGACAGACTTTCTGAGTATTTGCTAGATAGCACTCTTTTTCTAATCATAACTCATACTGAATGGTGTTTTATGCTTTAAAGAGTATTTCTATATACATTATGTATATTTTCAGTTAGGTTTTGTAGGAGATTCTTGCAAAGTAGGAAAATATGAGGAAATACTATAAGTCTAAGTGAAGTGATTAAAGGAACAGCTACATAATGAAGCATGAGTTATATGCATAATTGGGAAAACTGAATGGAATAAGAAGATAAATCTACTTGGTATGCAGAGAACATTTTCTTTTTATAAATAAATTATTTAGGCCTCAGTGGTGGTATTTTGTTTTCATGAGATAGCTAACATTGCTTTATTCACTAGAAACTTAAATGTTTGCCCATTAAGAATTGTATGATAACCTTAATATCTATCTGGAATTAGTTGAATGCATTATAGTACTCTGTAGCTGTTTAAAAGAATGCTGTAATTTGGAATGCTTCAAAATATATGTCCACTTATTTATTCAATAAATATTGCACAATTTTTGAATAATTATTCAAGTATAAATATACAATGGTAAAACCACAGATGTCATTCTTAAAAAATTGCTTGGAATAAATGTAATTAATTTGTTCAGGCCACACTAAAGTATTGTTTCATTTTTTTCATGAAGAAAAAATATAACATTTGTCTTGTAATTATTTCAAAAATAAAAGATCATTAAAAGACTATGTTGAAAGAGTACAAAAGTAGTATAACATAGAAGGAATTGCTCTTATATTACCATTCAATCAAGATGTGCCAAAAATTCAGTGAGAGAATAAAATCAGTAATGATGACAGGTAGAAATCTGTCACACCTTAGTTGAAATTTCAAGTAAAATGACTGAAACCATATAAAAGGCAATGTTATGTAAAAGTAAATCCATTCTTCACATACAGCACCAACATATACCAGTCACTGGTAACCTTTTGTTTTTTCCTTTGCCTTAATATTTAAATGTAGAGAAAAACAGACTCTAGATAAACTTGTAAAATTCAGAATGATTTTCTGGTCCACCCAGCTTTGAAAACCTGTCAGATTTATTGTATTTATTTATTTATGTGAAACCTTTGTCATTTTATAAAATATTATTTTGGTTTTGGCCAGCCATGAATTATGTATATTTCTAAAACAACAAAAAAGTTTTAATATTAACTGTTGTGAAACATTATTCAATGGGAAAAAGAAGAGTGGATTTATAATAACAAAGTATTATTATCTGTGAGGATTTCAGTTTTAAATAAAGATATTTTAATAGCTGTAAGAATATTTTATTATAAACTAGAAGTAATTAGTTTTGGCCAAAATACTCAAACATCCCTAAGAAAATTCTTAACAGCATGTAAGACTAGACTAGAATCAACAAATTTGTGAAATATCAAGATAGATTATATGCTTTAACTAGCATCAATAATATATAAAAGCAAAGCATCTGAGAAGGCTGTAATTAAAGGCAGGAACTGTGTTCTTATGCAGTATGGTACTGCATCTTCATTCCTAGGCTCATTCCCAATCAACTTATAACCAAAGCTACATGATGTATATCATATCACCCAATTAATCAGTTATTTTATGTTCAGTTTTTCTTGAAACTTCTGCCTAAGAGAAATGCTATATTTATTAAATAAGAGAATATGAAAGTTACTTATGTCTCAGGTTCAATTTTAGATTCAATTTTATATATAGGAGTGCTGTCCAGAGAGTATCCAGTCATTGTATCCATTGTATCCATGGGTGAATACTTTCCGGACAGCCCTGCTATACTTGTCTTTTATAAAACATTTACTTGGGCATTCACTGTAAAGAGTAACAAGGCTGCTTAACATAAAGAGCTCCTAAATTCGTAGTGATTAACATATAAAATCCATTGAATTATATACTTTAAATAATGAATTGTATGGTATGTGGATTATATCTCAATAAAGCTGTTTCAAAAAAGTTATTTACCTATAGTCATTCTTTAGGAAAACTACAACTATCAATTTCAGTGCCTTATGCCTGCTATCAAATAAATGACCTCAGCATTTTTTATCATTAGTGTTGACATTGTTTTTCTCCAAGAAATACCAATAATTAGTACTTATTTATGGCTTATTTTAAAATATTACTTTTTAAGAAATGTAATTAAATGAGGCTTTGGCCAGGACATAGATAAAATGAGAGATGGAGCCAATTTTCTGTTCTCATGACTTAAAATAAATTTGTAAGATATATATTTATTTAATTAATCCATCATTTTCATTATAGCCATTTTTCCACCTCGGATTTTATCCACTCGACCAGGACAGAAAAGTCCAATTATTATACATGATGACAA